ATAGAAGCATCGAACAGACTCTCCAACCTATAAGGGAAGGCGGGGGGAGAGGTGATGAGGGGGTAAGAGATGAACCAAAGGACTTGTGTGCATGCATATCAGCATAACCAGTGGACATGGTCAGTAGGGGTGAAGGCATGTGCTGGGGGGCAGGAGCGGATGGAAAGAGGTCAATGGGGGGAGAAGAGACATATGAAATACTTTCAACAATAAAGAATTTAAATAAATAAAAAGAGCAGAGCCTCTGAGCCCCTCTGTGTTCACAGCTCCATCGTCCCCACATCCGCCCTGGCAGGTCAGCCTGGACTGAGGGGCTTGCCCCCAACTCTATTTTCTCTCGCTCTGCAATGGAAAGGAAGGGCCCGAGGTGTTTTTTCTATTATTGTCATTTTTAGTTCTCAATCTTTTTTTAAATTTTGTTTTAATTACAGTTGACACAGAATGCCATACTAGTTTCAGGTGTGCACATCATGATCCAGCGTTTCATGTCCTTTACGCAGCCATCTGGGCCGTGACCTTCGAGGGCCGACGTGGAGCCCTGGCCGTGGCATTGCCAGACAGTGCAGTCGCAGGGCTGCACAGCACCTGGCACGGCAGAGCAGCAGCGCGGTCTCTTGGGCAGCGACCCTTGACGCATGAACCTGTTTTTAAGTGACTGGGCCAGTGGGTAAGAGCAGGGACGGCGAGTGCTGGCAGGCAGTGGTCCACATCCTGCTGCAGGACAGGTGGCGCTGGGCGCCCCGAAACTCCTCCCGACAGCAGGGGGGCTCCTGGGGTCTGGGAGAGGCAGCAGGACGGGTGAAGCGGGGCTGAGAAAGAGCAGGTCGTTCAGGACCGACAAAAGAATCGGTTGGAAAGTTGGGAGGAGGCATCCTGAGGAAGGGGAGTGTGGAAGGCCTCCCGCCTGTCTATCAGAATTCCCTTCGGGGAGTGCTGGAGGCTAAGACCGGCAGTAGTTAGCCTATCAATGCGATGGTCAGCAGGGCTCAAGGCAATTCCCTAACCTGATAACCCTTTTACTGTTAACCAAACTTTACCTTTGATATGCCTGTAGGCATTCCTAAAGGGCAAATGTGTATTCAAGTGAATAAAAAGCTGAGGGGACCCAGTTTACCGGGAGCTTCTCCACTAGAGGGAAGTTTCTGCCTGGCCCCCATGCCTTCTAAATTCATATTTCTCGTCTAGTGTTTTCACTGGTGTGCGGCCCCTCCTTTAGGTCCTGAGCCCTCCCTGCAAATGGATGTGGATTCACAGGGGAGACTTAGGGGTGTATTGAAGGCAGCGCCCCTAATTATCCCTTGACCTTTCCAAATAAGTCTGTGCATGCGCAGACCCCTGGGTGATTACTGGAATCCTTACCCTTTAACCCCTGGATGCCCCGCCTAGAGGACAATGTACACGTGTGTCCTCCTGAGATTACTCGCCCTGCTGATTGTACCTAAACATAAAAATTCCAATAAAGGCCTAACGAGGCAGGAATAGAGGCTGCCCTGGCCACTAGAGCCAGGGGCCCCTAGCCCTCTCCCTACAGTCAAACCGTGTCTGAGTCATCTGTTCGTCAGCCCCGGCTACAGGACACCCCACCGGGACCGTCTTCGTAGGCCGTGGAAAATGGGTGCCGGGGAGCCCCTTGTAAGGATTGGGATGGCCGTGCCTGTCAGGAGGAGAGTGGTCCTGGGAAGAGAGCTGCGGGTGGACAGGGGGAAGAAAGCACACAGCCCACCCTGGGCCGTGGGGAGGAGAGCGGCACTGCTGTCCCCGACGAAGCTCCGTGAGCAGATGTCTGTGCTGAGAAAGGGCGACAAGGAATTCAACCACAGCTCCCAGGAAGCCGGGACAGTGAGAATTAGAGAGAGGAGGGGCGGGGACTGTGAGCCAGGGGTCCTGCTTCACTAATTCAGGTCTAGCTTTGTCCACGTGGTTCATTCAACAAATGTTAGATAAACCCCACAGAGTTCAACTGTGGCCCTTTTGTTGCCGCGCAACCCCCGGGCTGCCTGTGGCTGCGTCCAATCACAAAGGCAGGGTTGAATCATCCACGGCGTTTATTGAGAAGGCCAGCTAACCAAGAAGACAGGGCGCTTACAAGCATCCAAAACCTGCCCTTCCAGCAGGTGCAGGGGACGGGATTGCATAGGAAACGTGGGCTGGGTGGAGGTTGGGAACTGTGGACGGAAGGGGCCACACGCTGACCTGACAGGCTCAGGGGAGGCCTGGTGGCAGTCTTGCAGACTCAGGGACCTAAACTAACCACAAAGGATGGTCTGAAATTAAACCTTAACGAAAAGCAGTGATGGTGGGCAGTTACGTCCTACACCAGTATCTTCACTGACAAGGTCAACCTTCACCGTAACTGAGCCTATCTGTCTTTTTGCATCTATGATAACATGTCCTTGGGATATCTGGGTAACTTGACTTCCCTTTTTATGGAGCCAGGTGTGTGTATGGGGGGGGGCGGGGCAGGACAGATGCCGCAGATTCTTTCATTATCATGTTAATTGTTCCTGCACCCACCTAAGTATGTGTCCATCATTTTACTTTTTATCCAATCCCAGGGGTCTCCCCCCCACCGTTTGCTTTGTCCCCCCTCCTTAATCTATCACCAATGGATTTCATGTAACCCACCTATGTCCCTCCTTTGACTGCAATGTATAAATACAGATGTAACCCCGCCATTCTCCGGAGCATTATCTCAATTCGTTGAGGTTCTGCTTCCCGGCATATGTCGACAGTTTGGCTCAAATAAACGCACAAGAATTCTGTACAGGTTTCAATGGTTTTTACGTTAACAGAACGTATGCGGTGGCATGCAGTCCTGAGGCCAGCAGAATCCAACCATTGTTCTTGGTTGTCAGGCGATGAGGTGACAGCTTGGCTCCTGCTGGGGTCAACCTGACCATGCATAACGGTTCTGCTTGCGCGCTGGGCACAGTGTACCTTGTCCGCAGCAGAATCACCTCCCCAATCACTTCGCCTGTGATCAGAGGGAGATGCAGGTGCACCGGCCTGAGAGATGGAACTTAGAAAAAAAAAAACTTAACCCTCTATCCCTATACGCATGCGCACTTCGGGATTTCAAACTAATGATTCTATCTCAGGTTAATTCAGCTGCTCTATCTCTCAGATCATAAACTCCTATCACTTTGAATCCCCAGCGTGCCCCGCCCCCCGGGTGGGAGGGGGAGCAGCCGCTGCGAGAAGGAAGCTTCGGCGCTCTGCCTGGGAAGCGCCACAGGACCGCTGTTGGCTGCAGCGAAGCATTTTAGGAGACCCTGCTTGCTGCTCTGAGAGAGGAGATGGAAACGCCGCGGTGACAAAGCATGAATGACAAGATCCTTTTCTCCTCGCGTTGAGCGGGGCTGGTGGACACCCCTCTCCATCACGGCCGTCTGGCCACAGCTCCTATGA